TGTTTATTATATTGTATTATATTATATTATAGTATTAAAAATAATTAATAATTACAACTTTATTTTACTTTTCATTTTTACTGTATGGTTGCATATTTGAGAATTTAATTAATTTTGACTTAAATAATTTTTAGTTAAAGGGGTCATATGATGCGATTTCATTTTTTCCTTTCTCTTTAGAGTGTTACAAGCTCTTGGTGCATAAAGAAGATCTGTAAAGTTGCAAAGACTAAAGTCTCAAATCCAAAGAGATATTCTTTATAAAAGTTAAGAGTTAGCCACACCTACCTAAAACGGCTCGTTCGAACACGCCCCCACATACCTACCTCACTATGTGGGAAGATTTGCATAACACCGCCCAAATGTTCACACAAAGAAAGAAGGAGTAACTTTTATTCTCGCTGTAATATTGAAAAGTGAGGTCGCTGAGGGAATACATCAACTTAGTGCTGTGGATCGCCGGATTGGCTTTCACCGTTTTCACCGCTCCTTTGCCGGGACCGCCGTTCTCGACCCCGCCGCCTCAGCTCACTCTTGCCCGGCTTCAGCTCAGGCTTTTATAATTGTCATGTTATATTATATTATTTAAAATAATTAATCATTACAATTTTTGAATATTTATTTTACTTTCACTTTTTGCTGTATTGTTGCATATTTGACAATTAAGTTGAATAAATTCAGGCTTTTATAATTGTCATATTATTATATTATATTATATTATTTTAAGTTTTATATTAATTTTACTTTCAGTGGTGTTCAGTAAAGTTGTATTATCAGCTAGTACTGTTTTGCTGTGTTGTTGCACATTTGACAAGTAATTGTTCATTTTGACTGAAGTCATGTTCATTAAAGGCTTTTACGATTGTGATTTGGTGGAATTTCACCCAAGGCTCTTTTGAAAAACGACAAAATCTTTCTCAGATTGTGCACATATCCAAGAGGCTCTATTTCAATTATTACTTTGTAATGTTTTCGATCCGTGTTGTCTGAGTACGAGCTTCAAAAAAGGGGATTGCAAGATCCACAAGGTTATCGCGGAGGGTGGAAACTCAATTGGAAGAGGTTGCAGTGGTCAGGTCTTTTGTCAGCTTTCTTTTGGTGCGATTTTGCAGAGGTATTGGAGTGAAGATAAGGAGCCCTGGTCATTTCTAAACTGCCTTTGGAGTGTGCATGAAGAGAGGAAAAACACATGGAGAATGGAGACAGATATATAACAGATTTTAGTATGGTATAGATTTTATTTGTTGGTCAAGAATCTTAAGAATCATGTCAAGTACTCTTATATTTTTTGTAGGCGCTGTGGTAATCATGTGGATGAAGCTCGTGACATTTCCTGATCCTGTTCCCTCCTTTTCTCCCCATTGTTCTCTCCACTGAGTCTCTAAATACTGAAATGGAAAATGGCCAAAATAAAAATGCTTATCTATATTGTACTGTTAAAACACAAATTGGGTTCCTGTCCAATTTAAAAGTAAATTCATTTACCATAGGCAGTCAGTTGTCATCTTCAGTGATGTAGTTTTGTCGTATTTTGTGTCTTTTGAGTTTTATTAAACCACCTGTGGAACAAAATGATGGCAGCTTAAAGTTGACCATAAAACACACAGAAATTATTCACTTTTAGTTGTTTTCTCTAGTTTTACTCAACATCAGTTCTGCATGACAATATCTTTTTTTGTTGTTGTTGTTTTTAGTTCACTTCTGTGGTGGCTTTTTTATTGCAGACGAAGAGCAAGTTTAACATACTTTCTGCTCCAAGTTTGTTATGGAAGTTCAATATAACTATTATATATTGCATATTTTATTCCTAATTCTGAATTTTACAGAATTTGACAGTATCTTAACCACTCATACTGAAAAATAATTTATATATTGCCTTTTCTATGTTATGCTGTTGTTGTTGTTATACAGTATAAATGATAATATTGTTAATTTATCATTATTATTAATATTATATAATATATGTAACCCTGGACCACAAAACCAGTCATAAGGGTCAACTTTTTGAAATTGAGATTTACACATCATCTGAAATAATAAACTTTCCATTGGTGTATGGTTTGGTATGATAGGACAATATTTGGCCGAGATACAACTATTTGAAAATCTGGAATCTGAGGGTGCAAAAAATCTAAATATTGAGAAAATTGCCTTTAAATTTGTCCAAATGAAGTCCTTAGCAATGCATATTACTAATCAAAAATTAAGTTTTTATATATTTACGGTAGGAAATTTACAAAATATCTTCATGGAACATTATCTTTACTTAATATCCTAATGATTTTTGGCATAAAAGAAAAATGTATAATTTTGTCCCATACAATGTATGACTGGTTTTGTGGTCCAGGGTCACATATGCACTATGGCTTTATTGTTTTATGTAATATAGTAGTCTATATGTCATTCATTTGTAGAGCTTCTTGTAAACATTACTTACTAAAAAAAAAATCATACTTAAAATCAATGACAAGGTCACAGGTGTTTTTTTGCTAATAGTTTGACCTTGTTTGAGTTTGATTTCTTGACTCTAGCCTCAGCAGGCGCCTGTTGCACAGATCTACACATTGGCTTTGCTCAATTGCTTTTGTGCCAGATCATTGCAAGCCTCCCAGAGCACTTGACCCGTATGAGACTGCAATATTCAAGTAGAAATATTAGAGACATACGAATACCGCATAGTCTAGCTCTAGGATACTTCCACAGACCATTTAACCATGCTCTGTCATTCTATAGTAGTGTTTTTCTGTTCCTGTCATCTTCCTTCTATCACTATGAAGCATGGTGTTAGCAATATAGATTATGCTGCATTCATTCAAATCTGTGTACACACTTTTGAGGTCATTGATGTTTCTCTTCAAGAAAAATTCGGTCTGAAAGCTTCCACAGGTTGCCCTGTTAGCGCATAGGGTCTCGTCCTCTCTCGACAGCTTTAATGACAGACAGTAACAGTAACAAGGTATTATGCAAGATGGATATCACCCAGATTACGCCAACGAGAGCTTGAGGGCGTCGGGTCTTTTAAACGAGGTTATCTATGCAATCTGTCACAAATGATGATGGAGCAGGGTAATAAGAGGCATTTTCTCCAGTTCTACAACCTCGAGAGTCAGACAGCAATGTCAGCTTTGCCTTGAATGAATTCTCAGGTTTGACTTCAGAGATTTTCTTGCCACCGTTCAGGGCTGCGGAGACCAGCTTCGCCCAACTCTGGCCCGAAGTGCAAATTTGCGCTTTCCCTCATTGAGGTGCATTTCATCCATTACGACTACAATAGGAGGTATTAATAGCTTCTCGTTGGCTTACAATGGTAATTTTTCACCTGTTCGGCTCAGGCCGATGCTTGTGTAAATATAGACCGTAGAGGAATCCGCCTTGTTTGGAGACCCCAAGCCACTTCCACGCAGAGAACAAAGGGAGCCGAGGGACATCCGTCTACTACAAGAGACGGCAAACAATAACATGAGAACATTACAAGGAGAAAAGGATGAAAGTGGCGAAGGTATCAGGGATGGAAAAAAGGTACATTATTCAACGAATCCTCCAACAAGTGCCGTTCCTGCAGGAGAAGAGCGAGTAACATGCACTCTTCTGGGCTTCAAGGCGAGTGCTGTTGAATTCAGAATTAAATTGCCAGGCTAAGAGTTGACAGAAGAATACCAGGCAGTGGCGTATTGTCATCCCATTGTGTGAATCTGACAGACAGTCGGAGAGGGATCTCATCCAAACAATAAAAGAAGCGACGGCCCCTCATTGTGTTCCGCACAAAACCCATAGCAGTGCACCTGTTAGCTTTGCCTTTCCAGTTTGATATCAGTCGAGATGGGGAAAGGTTGTTTCATGTGTTGTAGACCTGTAATTCCAGAATCGAATCCTCACACATAGATTGGAGCTCGTGCCGGGCGCTTTCTGCATAAATTTGCGCTCGTCTGGGGTATCGTTCACCGTGCTTAATTTAGTCAGACGGACGCTTCAGCAGAATACACACAGCGCCCTCAAGAGGCACTAAAGCAAACAGCAGCGGTTTTTTTGCACCTGTTCTGCACAAGGCTTGCGCTCTGAAAGTGGAGGAGCAGGCGTGCTTGTCGTGTTCCCTAGTGGAATGGCATCAGTCTCTGTATGAACTGAGACTTGGAAAGAAAGTGAGCTGGGCGCCGGCTCTGCCGGGGCTGCTGGTGTGTTATCTGTTTTTCAGAGTAGTGCATTCTGGGAGAGCAGATGGGACTTTAGGGGCTTAGCAGAGATCAGACAGTGACACATGGTGGAGCTCAGGGACCGTTCATGGGATATTCACCTCTCAGTCCATCCTCAGATATTTGCCTGCAAGCTGACCGCCGTCTGTCATGGAGCTCTGAACTATCTTACTTTTAAGCAATGTTCATTTGTAGTTTTAAAAAAAAAGGTTATTTTTTTATAAAATAATTACACGATATGCTGGTTGTTTAATTGAATTAATCATAATTAAAGTTAATTTTTTCCTTGAAAATCCCCCAAATTGGGATAACTGAAAGACATTATTATGGCAGATGAGTAAATAATTTAATATACACTAGAGTTCAAAAGTTTGGGTTTGGTAAGATGTTTTTGAAAGAAGTCTCTTGTACTCACCAAATATTAATACAGTTTAAAGCAGTTTTGGAGTAATGATGCTGAGTTTTCAGCATCATTACTCCAGTCTTCAGTGTCACATGATCTTTCAGAAATCATTCTAATATAATGATGTCCTCCTCATGCAACATTTGTTTTTTATTATCAATGTTGAAACAGTTGTGCTGCTTAATATTCTTTGATGAATAGCAAGTTGAAAAGAACAGCATCTATTTGAAATAGAAATCTTTTGTAACATTGTAATTGTCTTTACTGTCACTTCTTGACCAATTAAATGCATGCTTGCTATATAAAAGTATTAATATCTAGAAAAAAAAAACTTACTGACCCTAAACTTGTGAATGGTAGTGGCTTTAGAAGTTGATAACGGTACCTTTTGAAACCTTGTTTTTCAGAGCCAACAATCATTACAACTGCTCCCAACACGCTGGACGTGACCGTCGGTGAGAGCATCATTCTTCCCTGCCAGGTGTCCTACGATCCCTCGCTGGAGCTCAAGTTCACCTGGTTTTTCAACGAGCAGCTCATCCACTTCGGTAGCCACGGAGGATACTTTGAAAAAGTTGGCGGAGTAAGAAGAAAATGATTACAAATACCCTACTCAGTGGTTTAGATATTTATGCCACATCCAGAAGTTATACTGGGATTACCAAGATAAAGTGAATAGTTTTTGGCTGGTCATGTGATCTCATCATGGCAGTCACCATAAAGTGTGACGACCCTTGTGTAGAATAAAATAACATAAAAATCTAAGTTACTAAACAAAGCCATAGTTTGTTTTTAATTAGTCATTTTACTCTCTTTTAAAAATACTACAAACTAATACAGTGTATGTTAGCTGGTACCTGGTTCAGGGAGCCATGCAGTATTCACTTCACATACACATATGCAAATTTATAGAAACTGTAATTGGTCATATATTATACTTAAGGTATTCATATCGAGTACTTTCAACTGAATTCTTGGGGGGAAAAAATTAATCCTTTCATTAAATTCCACAGTTTTGAGTTTGTGAATTTATGATAAGAGATTTTCCCATTATATGTGCAGCCACTGACAACCCCATTCTGTATTAATCTAGAGTATAATTAGCCTTCCCTCTCAGTGATGTGAATTACAGCACTTGTACAGTCACATGCGTTTCTTTTCTTTTCATTAAATGTTCATGATTTTTTTTCCCCCTTTTTTGGGGGGTGAGGGGCTGATTCTCATCATCTAGTTCATCATGTCATCCATAGGAGCCCCGTCGCCAAAGAAACAAGCGATGGAGAATGTTCTAGATGAAAGTGCTCTATTTTAAGAGCGAAAACTGCCACTCTTATATTATTTAACATGATTACTATGATTTAATATGAGTGGTGCATCTTAACAGCAGCACTTTGAGTGAAGAATGTGGGGAAAGTATATATCCTGAAAAAGGAAAAACTAAAAAGTTATTTATTCCACATTTCCGATCTTTGCTTAAGGCATTTAAACCATTCAAAGTACTCACAGAGACACATACCAAAATAGATAACGCTCTGTGCCAGAAATCAGCCAGATTTTTGATTCATCATATAGTCTGGTCCAATTTTTAGCTTATTCTGACCAACAACAAAAAAACACAACTTGACAGAAAGTGTTTTTGTTTGACCTACATGTTTTACATGTCTTTTAAGGCAATAGTAAGTCATGGTAGGAAAAAAAAACTAAAACTTTTTATATTAATCTTAATGCCACCAATTAACCTTTGTGAACAGCTATACAGAAAGCTGGGGGGGGGAATCAAAAAATGTTTTTTTTTTTTTTTGGAAGATATTAATACTTTTATTTAGCAAGGATGCATTAAACTGATCAAAACTGACAGTGAAGACATTTATAATTTTACAAAAGATTTCTATTTCAAATAATTGCTGTTCGTTTAAACTCTCTAGTCATCAAAGAATCAGAACAGTTTCCACAAATTTGACCCTGGACCACAAAAGGGTCTTTTTTTTAAATTGAGATTTATACATCATCTGGAAGCTGAATAAATAAGCTTTCCATTGATGTATGGTTTGTTATGATAGGACAATATTCAATAATAGGACAAAATATGGAGAAAATTGCCTTTAAAGTTGTCCAAATTAAGTTCTTAGCAATGCATATTACTAATCAAAAATTAAGTTTTGATATATTTACGGTAGGAAATTTACAAAATATCTTCATGGAAGATGATCTTTACTTAATATCCTAATGATTTTTGGCATAAAAGAAAAATTTATAATTTTGACCCATACAATGTATTTTTGGCTATTTCTACAAATATACTCGTGCGACTTACGACTGTTTTTGTGGTCCAGGGTCACAAATCAGCACGAAATCAGCATATTGGAATGATTCTGAATGATCACGTGACACTGAAAACTGGAGTAATGATGCTGAAAATTCAGTTTTGCTACCACAGGAATAAATTAAATTTTAAACATTAAAATTAAAACATTGATTTAAAACTTGCTGTATTTAATCAAATAAATGTAGCCTTATTAAGGATTAAAGACATCTGTCAAAAAATAAATAAAAAATCTTATCAATACTTGTGAACACGAACAGCGGTGTAAGTACATTTTAAAACAAATAATAACAAGCTAATTGGACATAGAAATAAGCATAGGAGAAATAAGTTTATTTAAATAAGAAAAAATCCTTTCTCTATACCCAAACTGTAATTCCTTACCATGACTTTGATCTTTCTCTTTTAGCAGCACTCGGCAGGTGACATCATGATCCGGAACATTCAGCTGAGGCATGCTGGGAAGTACACGTGTGCTGTGCAGACCAAGGTGGACAGCAGCTCCATCGCGACCGACCTGATTGTCAGAGGTGAAAATGCTTTAAAACCCATACAGCCCATTCACATTGTACATATCACATTTTATATATACAGACATAATCTTCTGCACACTGTGACTATTGAATATTACACGTCGATCATAAAAACGTACTGGATACAGTGTTACAGACTGTTAAACAAGCCCTTGAAGCAATGTAAGTATTTACCAAATGGAGGAAAGATGTGCTGGTTTTCCTGCTTTAGCAAAAATTACCCATAAAAAATGAGACATAATCTAATTAGGGCTTTTAAGCCAGTGAAAACATGTAGCTCAGAGTTAACCAGCTATGTACTGCTATGCTTTAGGCGGCCGTTTATATGCAGCCTAGAAGCGTGACAACGTGTGTGTGTGTGTGTGTGTGTGTGTGTGTTTCTGGTTTGCATGGCTGTCTTCTGTCTCAGGTCCCCCCGGCCCCCCTACCAGCATCCATGTGGAAGAAATCACAGATACCACTGCCACTCTCTCCTGGAGGCCTGGTCCTGATAATCACAGTCCAATTACTGCCTACACCATCCAGGCTAGAACCCCTTTCTCCCTCGGCTGGCAAGCTGTTAGCACAGGTGGGGCTTCTAACCAGCCTTCACTGATCAAAACATTTGCTGCATAGTTTCCTATTTTCGCCCCCCTGCTTTTTCCTCTCCTATTATGTAGTGAGATTTTCATCTTGTGTTTTTGTATGTTTGTTTATTTTTGCTTTTCATGCTTTGCTAAACTGCATTTGTGAAATGACTGTTTTTTTCTACATGTAGTTTGCTTTGTCTTTAGCTTGAAGCAGAGAATCCAAAAATGTTTAGCGAAATGTTGAGGCTGCTCTTTTCCATACCATAAAAGTGAAGGGTATACATGGGCCATCAAGCTAAATAAATGACTAAAGGTATCATGAAAGTACCATAAAATGCCATATGACTCATGTGCCGAACCTTTGAAAGCTTTCGATAAATTTATGCAAGGAAAAAAATTTAATCTAATTAATATACTGTATATCAAAGTCCCTTTCAAGGAAAGTCTGTTCACTTGGCGGCCATATTTGCAACGCCTCCGGGCAGCTCATACAAGACCAAGCACTATCTAAATGAATGGGGGAATCCTGAAATTTCAAAAACTGCTCACTAAACTTACAATTAAATTACATATTTCAAATCAGCAACAAAATCTGAAATGAACTGCCCCATCATGAATGTTGTTTCTTCAGACTAGACCAGCCAATGCGTATGCACAGTCACAACGCACTTATGACTACGCATGCGCTTTGGCTGGTCTAGCCTCAGGTTTCTATGGGAACCGGAGCTTCTAACGGCTGCTGCAGTGATGCAGTGACTTTACCAACCAGTGATTGGCTCTTTCATTTAGAAGGCGGGACTATTCCGCAATATTGCATGCTGCAGTTTCTCCCATTCATAAGTATAGGAGTGAACCGTCTTTGTATTTCTATAGTCTTTGTATATATTCATTATTAATTTAAATAATATATGTATATGTGTATATCTGTATGTTGTCTTCTATGTTCACCAAGGCTGCATTTATTTGATCAGGAATACAGTTAAACCAGTAATATCGTGAAATGTTGTTACTGTTTAAAATAACTGTTTTCTATTTATTTTAAAATATTCATTTAAAATAATAAAGATGTGGTCTTTTATGTTCATCAAGACTACATTTATTTGATCAGAAATACAGTAAAAACAGTAATATTGTGAAATATTTTTACTATTTAAAATAACAGTGTTCTATTTTTAAATATTATTTTAAAACACTAATTCAAAAAAATATTAATTTAAATTTCTTTAAAAAATTTTAAAAACTCTTTCAATTTGAGGCATCTTTGCTGAATTAAAAAATTAATTTCTTTAAGAAAAATCTTACTGACCAGAAACGTTTGAACATATATGTAGAGATCAATGTTATATTTTATTTTAATTGATTATAGTAGTCTTGCTAATGAACCCTACACTGTAATATTTTGCATGTGATATTGCAAATGCAATATTTTACAGTGCACCATATACACTGATATAATACAGTGTAACACAACAATATAGAAAAAATTAAGCCGCATCTCTTGACCTCTTTGCTCTTGATTGTACTTTATAATTTGAACTGTAGGATGTTATTGTTATCTCTGCTTTCACAGCGCCTGTCGATAAGCCCGTTTTTTTGTATCTTACCTACGGAGCCTATTATCTCACCGAGCTGGAGAGATGCAGCTCCATCGTGGTGTTTGTTTGAGCGTGCGGGCGGCCCGCACCGGCTCACGAGGGGGCTTGTCTCACAGTATGTGTGTGTTTTGTTTTGTTCCAGTGCCGGAGGTGGTCGGGGGCTCGCATCTGACTGCTACAGTCATCGAGCTTAACCCCTGGGTGGAGTATGAGTTCAGAGTGTTGGCAAGCAATGCAGTGGGCACAGGAGAGCCCAGCAAACCCTCGAAGAAAGCCAGGACGAAAGAAACAGGTGAGTGCTTCTGTCACATTAGTCTGCATGTGGCTTTCAATTAGCATCCTGTGGTGTGATGCACTATCTTCCGTTACTTAGGTTGAAGGAGGGACCCAAACTAGAATATCACAGAGACTTGGAGGCAGTGCATAGCAAAAAGCTAAAAAGCACTTTAGCAACCACACAGCAATATCCTGCAATGCTTAAACATCCTGGCGGCTCATTTTGCATGGGCAAACACCACTCACATTTCTTCAAAAATGTAAAAATGTAGTTATGCATGCAGTTTTATAGCCTCATATAAATTACTAAAAGGCTAAATGGAGTATTTGTACTTTAAAAATTTAATTTCTCACACAGCAGGGCCATTTAAGTGAACTGTACAAGGCAAAAAAGCTGATAAAAAAATTGTGAGAAAGGAATAAAAATATAAAAATATAAATGTTAATATATAAATAAATATACACTAATGTTTTTGAAAGATGCTGCTTATGCTCACCAAGGCTGCATGTTGATTTCAATGTTAATAACTATTTTCTATTTTAATAGATTTTTTAATTACATTTACTGAATTTTCAGCAGTCATCATTACTCCGATCTTCAATGTCACGTGATCCTTCAGAAATCATTTTAATATGATGATTTGTTGCTTAAGATACATTTCTTCATATTATTAACATTAAAAAGATTGATGTTGCTTAATATTTTTATGGAAACCATGATCCTTTTTTTTAGGCTTCTTTGATGAATAGAACATTCAAAAGAGCAGCATTTATTTGAAACAAACCTTTTGTAACATTGTGAATGTTTTACAGTCACTTTTGATTAATTCAATACATCCCAGAAAAATAAAAGCATTCATTTATGCGAAAATAATTACAGACCCCAAACTTTTGAACAGTATTTAAAATATAATTTTAACTGTCAGGAACAGCAAAAGGAAAAAAGAGTGATTAACAATGGTGAAAAAGAAGTGGTGACCAGCATCTAAAAATATACACTTGTTCTTATACCTTCAGATATTTTTAAATTATATCAATTTTAATTGTCAGTTCACATTCGAACTTCTAAATCATACTATTTAAATGTTCAAATAGAAATAGTGACCAGCATCTGAAAATATAAACATGTCCTTGTACATTAAATAAATGAACTCAAATAATATCCATATTTTTTGTTGAACTTTCAAATCATATGTAAGAATCGAAGTCTTAAATGGTCAGACCTGAGCCGGACTGAGGAAATCTTTTCCTTCCTCCAGTTCCCAAGGTCACCCCGGCCAACGTGAGCGGAGGAGGTGGCAGTCGATCAGAGTTAGTCATCACTTGGGAGGTAAGATGGCCAGTGCACTTCACTCGCCCGTCTGCCGGTGTGTGTGTGTGTGTGTGTGTGTTTCTCTCTCTGAGTGCGTCTTTTGTGTACAGTCTCCTTTTGCAAGCTGGCTAGACACTATTGTTCCCTTTATGCGAGGTTTTCATTAATCATAGTAAAGCGGATACACATACTTCATTTTCTGTAAGAGCTGCGCAGCAATAACTGCCGCTGTCATACAAGAGAAGCAGCGAAGATAATTAAATGGAGTTACCCTCCCATTTTTGCGAGGAACTTTTCAAAGATTATGTTCTCTCTCTCTGTATCTCCTTTCATGAGACGTGTTCTATTGTTCAGGTTTGAGAGTCAGCTGGTGTTATCTATTGAACTAGAAGTTTGTCACAGGGAGCTTGAAACTTCACTTTGAGAGTTTCTCGTTGTATTGTCTTTGAAATAAAAATGAGATACCACAGAACACCATCTATTGTACTAGAGAATTTCATGTCTTCTTTTACTCCAAAGCCACCATGTTCCACTAACGCAAGAAGTACAGGTGTATTTTACTAGAAAACCTAGTGGTATGTTGTATTTTACTAGAAAACCTAGTGGTATGTTGTATTTTAACTTAAGAATAGGCATTCGTCTAAAGCAAAGGCTATTGCATAATGTTGATTTGAGTTACCTTTTTTCCAAAGTATATGACAGCATCTTTAGCATTTTTTGCAAAGAAAACGGCTATATTATAGTGCATTGCAACAAGCTCAGAAAAATAAGGCAGCTCATGCTGTTTGGAACACGTCCCATTAGTTTTGGTCTCTCCATCGCAAATTGTTATTTTCACAGCAGACACTGGAGTGAGCGCTTGATTACAGGTGCATTTTTATTTAGCCATTAAGCTCTCCCGCACAAGTCACATGCCATGGTTTGGGACTATTGTATGCTATTTTCTGGTGGTCTCAGCGTTACCGCACCGCATTACTGCATGGTCAGTGGCAGACCGATACTTCAAACAAAACCACCATGATATCATTACCTGGCAAAATGATTTCCTGGGAGATGGAATCCCTCTCTTGCTGAAGAGGCTGGGATGACAGCTATCGCCTCAGACCGCGCCGCAGCACAGATTAGTGCGGATGCGCCATCTGATGCCTGACAGGTGTCAGAGAAGTCATACATCCTGTCGTCTATATGAAAGATGGGAGTGTTTGTGCGTAAACCCCTGAGTTAATAGAAAACACACCTTACAAACAAGTTTCATGGTTACCCAGATAGAAAATCCATGACATTTAGATGACATTACCATGGTACATGTCCAAAACGTGGTTGTTTTTGTCTGTTATGTGCATATATATATATATATATATATATAGATAGATAATATTTTGAATAGGAGTCATAATAAAGGTTATGTCGTGTATTGTAGATGTATGTGCTTTGTTTGTGGGTTGCAGCCTGTTCCTGAAGAGCTCCAGAATGGAGCAGGGTTTGGCTATGTCGTTGCTTTCCGGCCCTTTGGTGCCACCGGGTGGATGCAGGCAGCAGTTCCCTCTCCTGAAGCCTCCAAATACGTCTTCAAAAACGAGACCATTTTACCCTTTTCTCCATTCCAAGTCAAAGTGGGGGTGTACAATAACAAGGGGGAAGGACCTTTTGGACCCGTGGTCACCATCTACTCTGCTGAGGAGGGTCAGTCACATTAACCGTAGCGTTTGGTTGCGTGCAACAGAGAAATTAAAGTCGAATGTACCTTTTGACATTTTGCTGTGGAACGCTTAGCAGGCAGTTAATAGGAGCCAAGTTAACTGAAGTGTGTTGTGCCAGAACCCATTAATCATGGTCTGCCTTGTTTTTCAAAAAGAGTTGGACTTTGAAGACATTTGTTGAATGAAATGGTCTAATCGAAGAATTTCTCCTTCGAATCCAGAGCCTGGAAGGGCACCCAGTCGACTCAGAGCCAAGAGTCTTTCAGCGTTTGACGTTGAGGTGTCCTGGAAGGCCCTTCCCTGGAGCACAAGCAAGAAACGTGTTCTCGGCTACGAGGTACACTAATGTTGCATTCATTTTTTGGTGTTATATCATCATGATTTTTAAAAAACGTTAATATTAAAATCATTATGAACAGTTTTTAGAATGAACATAAATAAAACTTCAAAATATCTTCAAAAAAATTGAAGGAATCACTTACATTATCTTCAAATGTAAATATCGGTTAATTGTTCTAATTACTGAGCTATAAACAAGAAACCATTTTTTTTTATTTCCCTTTAAATCTTACAAAATAAATCTGTTGTTGACATAAGTACATAATTAACATTGATTAGCTCATAATGTTGTAAAAAAAAAAAATGAATAAAAACTGTATTTTACATTTAGTTCAAAATATACAATTACACTACTGCTCAAAAGTGTTTTTAAAGAATTAATAGCTTTATTCAGCAACAGCAAATTAAATTGTTTAAAGGTAGCAGTAAAGACATTTGTAATTTTACAAAAAGTGTGTGTGTGTGTGTGTGTTTGTGTGTGTGTGTGTGTGTGTGTGTGTGTCTGTGTGTGTGTGTGTGTGTGTGTTTTAAAAAAGAGTTACAAAAAAAAGTTTACTGAGCAGCAAATAAGCATATTAGAATGATTTCTGAAGGATAATGTGACGTTGAAGACTGAAGCAATTATGCTGAAAATTCAGCTTTGCCATCACACAAAATAAATTACATTTAATTATAATAATATTTCACAAACTTACTGTTTTCACTGTATTTTTATCAAATAAATGTGGCCTTGGTGAATACCGACCTCAAACATTTGAAAAATATTAAACATTAATAATAAGTTTGTGAGCGTTAGTAAGTGAGAGAGGTTTTTCTGTGATTCTGTGATTGCAGGATGTCTCTACAGGATTATGGGTAGTTCTTAGGTTTGGCAAATAAAAGCCGTTTTGCACATGGCAGAAATATATGTTGATACTGAAAATACTTTTCTCTATGGAGAAAAACTTACAGAGTACTGTTTATGCGGTCTATAAACCTTATAATGCAGGCTCGTTACTTGTTTAGCAACAGAATTTTGTTTGAGGTTGTATTGCAACCAACTCCATTTAGTGTTGTTTCATTTGATGTTTTTTAACTTTTGGTAAGTCATTTGCAAAAATCATAAATATAAAGCACTGAGACCTTTTGTTCTCTGCAAACAGTTGTGGAAGAAATACAAATTAGTTTTATATCATCATCTATCTCTGACTCTTCAGCTTAGACTGTCCAGAAGCTTTTGGAGGGAAAAGGAAAATCGGTTAACCTGACAGTTGGGAAGCATTGCTCATGATGATTTGCCTATGACAGGTTCATTTCAATACTGCCACACTTCAGTGGCTGAGCAACCAAACCACCTATAAGCAGATAGCCTGGAATTCAGATATGCCACAAAGAAAATTACAAATGAATTCTTTCTCCCACTAGTTTCAAATGATATTTCTCTGGGTTTATTAAAGTTGAATGTTGAGCGGCTCTGTTTTGTCTTTCTCTGTAGTTGAGATACTGGGAGAAGAATGAGAAAGAAGACACAGCTAGTGTGCTAAGGACAGTAGGAAACCGGACGTTGGCCATTATTCAGGGCTTAAAAGGAAGTACCACCTATTACATAACGGTGAGGGCCTACAACACAGCAGGAACAGGACCACCAAGTCCAGCAGTCAATGTTACCACCAAAAAGCCTCGTAAGTAACTTTTTTTCTTTTTAAAAAGATTAAGCATTGAAGTTTAAGGGTAGTAACACTTCTTGTATTAGATCACTGTTTTAAAGTTTCTATGTCTTCATCCAGCCCCCAGCCAGCCGCCCTCAAAAGTCATGTGGAATGCATCAAACTCTAAAATCATTCTCAACTGGGAACAGGTGAAACCTCTGGAAAATGAATCCGAGGTCATGGGATACAAGGTAAGCCAGATCTTCTTGCACAACTTTGTCTGCTGTTTAGCATGCCTAACAACTCTCTTTAGCCATAAATACATTCACAATGTGACACAGCACCTTATTGCTCAATGATTAAACAGCTTTCAGTGCTTTAGCGCCACCAAATGCTCTGATAAGTGTATGACAATGACTCAAACATCTATCATGTCACAAAGCATCTATTGGTTGGCTTATATTGTTTTAGTGGAATTTCATTGCAAACAATCCTGGTATAAAAGCTGTTATATTAAATATTTGCAAGCTGGTGTAAAAAACCTTTTTTGCTTATAAATAGAGTTCAAAATATTTTAAATTGAGTGATTCGGACTGATTGCCCTTCAGCTCCTATGCTACACTCTTAAAAATAAAGGTGCTTGAAAGGTTCTTCACAGCGATGCCATAGAAGAACCATTTTTTGTTCCACCATCTCTTTCTTACCTTTTTATAATCTGAAGAACCTTCTTTCGCCATAAAGAACCTTTTGTGAAACAGAAAGGTTCTTCAGATGTTAAAGGTTTTTTATGGAACCAAAAAGGTTGTTCTATGGCATCGTGAAGCACCTTTATTTTTAAGAGTGTATCTACATTTCCGCATCAGCCATTAAAAATCGCATATAACAAGTGGAACGATGTAAATGGAGGTAATTGTTTCAAATTGTAATTGTTTTGTAGGTACTGTATAAGCGGAACCAATTCAGCAGGCCCAGCATTATGGAGACCAACACCACATCAGTGGAGCTCTCGCTGCCCATGGATGAGGAGTACTTCATCCAGATCAGGCCTTTTGGAGAAGGAGGGGAAGGCAGCAGCAGCCGGCAGATCACCATTCCCAAAATATCAGGTAGATCATCCTCTGCTAACTGACTTATTTTTAATTCCGTTTTGATTTTGTGCTATATTTTATTTAAGAGGGAAAAAGTTTAAGCTTGCAATTTTAGAAATAGAATGCATTATAAATAAATATAATATTTAAGAGATGATGTACAATCAGCCGGTCATTATCACATAATGAAATTCAACAGGGCGATCAGACTTGAATTAGCCTGAAGGGATTTATTTTGCGCTAATAACCGGCTGACTGTACATTATCCTAAAGATTACATTACTGCTCATCAAATAAATTAATGAATGGACATGAAATATTCATTAAGTGATTTTATTATGCGTGCAGAAATATATGAATATTAGAGACTTGAATATGAATTGCACCACTGTTCAAAACTTTTTAAATGATAAAAAAAATCTCTTATGCTCACCAAGGCTGCATTAAAAATGCTATTAAAGTACAATAAAAAGGTAATATTGTAAAATATAATCACAATTTAAAGTGTTTAATTTATTTTAAAATACATTTCAACATGTAATTTATTCCTGTGATGCAAAGCTGAATTTTCAACATCATTACTCCATTCTTTAGTGTCACATGATCCTTCAGAACTCATTCTAATATGCTGATTTGATGCTTAAGAAACATTCATTCTTACTATTATTTATCAATGTTGAAATCACTTGCAGCTTAATAAATTTGTGGAAACTGCGATGCTTTTTTTTTCCATTTGATGAATAGAAAGTTTAAAAGAACATTATTTATTGGATTTTTTTTTTATAGCAATGAAGATGTCTTTACTGCCACTTATTATCAATTTAATGTGTCATGCTGAATAATAAATCTTAGTTATAATATATAATTTGAGCTCCTACAAATTGTTCCTCTGAAACTCTCTTTACCTTTAAAACTCCAACAATTGAAGCACCACTGAGTTCTTGACTGTGATGTTAAACCATGTGCTTGTTTATTTTAGCACTGCACCATTTTGTCTTCATTCATTCATTTGCCGATTCATTCTATTTCAGGTCCCAATGCCATCGGCTCGGCTTCCAGTGTGTCCACTCTCTCTGCTCTCAGTACAATAGCTCTCTCCCTCACAGCTCACACATCTTTATGACAGAACACAGTGCGGGCCGCTGACTTCAGACGAAACGTTCTTCCTCGAGAGGAGACTGAGAAAAGTGACTCAGACAGATCGATGAAAACCCATTCATACAAACCAGAGGACCTACGTGAACCATAATACTGGGATAAAGAGAAAAAGAAAAGAAAAAAAAAAAACGGGTGTGTGGTTCGCTAGCCAATTCAAAAAAGATTGAAGGCTGATGGGATTGAATTTGATGTTACCAAAGCAGCTTTAAAGAAAAAAAAAAGAACAAAAAAAATGAGGAAAATGTCACATGCTTCTTTTGTATGACATATCTTAGCTTTTTCCTTTTTTGTTTGATCCAGTCGGTCTGTATGTTCCTATTTCAGTACGCCGGGTGTGTATAGGAACTGCTTTAGATGCATGTCTTGTACAATGTTTTGTAAGAGAATGCAGGTGTCTGAAACTTAATCGTTTAGTGCAAGACATATTTGGCTGAAAACCAACTAATCATCACAATATGACGGTCCTCTGAGGGTCACACGTACTTACAAGCTAAGAATCTCCAAGGACTTCTTACTGTTTACGACACAGGAATACTTGCACTGAAACAACGTCTGGAAGAAAGTGAACAACGACAGAAAGCATCCTGACCAGAAACTCGAGAGAATGCTGCTACAAGGCCAAGTCGGACGTTGGCGTCTTTGTCACCTCCCTCCTTACTGGTCAGCAGCAAACGGACACCAGGCGTTGACATTGGCCGTCTCTTTTTTCCATCATCTTCCATTTATCTGTGTGTCGCATCTAGAGCTCTTCTTTGCCTTTTGTGTGCCTCATTGTGTGTTTTTGAAATCCTCAGGTCCTCAGAAAAGCCTTAATACATATTTCTTAGCGTTAACTACTTAGAAAAGTGCTGGACGCCAGGGCTGTGAGCGGTTAGTCAAGCGGGATGCTGGGGTTTGGGTAGCTGGTGCGAGTTTATTGCTTCCATGTTCCATATTATAACAGCCATATGCTGTTCCTCATTGTTTCAAGGCAATACAGTGTGTGTGTGTGTGTGTGTGTGTGTGTGTGCGCGTGTGTGTGACCTCTGCTAATGTAGGGGCTACGAGCTCTGCATTTTTTTAAATGCCATGTGGGAATGGTGCGATGAAAGTAGCTTGTCATTTCTTGAGGTGCAAATAGATGTACTGCTTAAAGGGACACGTGGAGCTCTGAGACTGAGTGAAAACAAATGTATATGTAAATGCTTTTTTGTATATTCCAGATAATTTATATTTAAGTAGACGACATCAAAGTTTCCTACAAAACTCATCTCGGTTTTTATCTAACAAACAGAATAGACGTTTCTTAGCTTACCGTGGCTCTGCATGTGGATGTTTTCATTCCATTCTTGATTCATTAGGTACTAACCGATGAACATTTGACGAAAGGATACAAATAGTCATTCATCCATTTCTGAAGATTTGTGTATCGGTGTATCTGTCATAGCCAGAACGCTCTTTCTCTAAGCAGTGCTTTCCACCAAACTTCTTTGTCTTTATCGGAACTCCCATTTATTGAACCGTATAACTTTTTCCTCCAAGGTTCTCTGTTTATACTGGATCACAAAATAAATGACATTTATAAAAATGATCACACAAATGTTTTGATTGGGTGCATTAGCTGTGGTTATGAGACGCTTAATAACAGTTTAACCAATAGGCCTACTTTTGTCATTTGCGCACCCTCACATCATTCCAAACCTATATGACTCTTGTGTATCTTCACAAAGAACAAGTAAAGCTCATTAAAAGGTATCCATATTACTTGTGCGCTATGGTCCAAATCTTTTGAAGCTTTCTATGAGAAATAGACCGAAAGGCCAAACAGTTATTTGAGTATAGCAATGGTTAACCCAAATATGAATATTGTTGTCGTTCACTCACCCTCATGTCGTTCCAAACCGGTATAACATTTTTTTTTTCTTCTGTGGAACAAAAAGAAGATATTTTGATGGTTGCTTTTTTTTTGGTTTGGAACAGTGTGAGAATGAGTAAATGACAGAGGTTTTATTTTGGACAAATTGTTGCTTTAAAACTTTTCATTTCCATATGCACAAAAAAAAATTTACACTAAATCATGATCAGCTTTTTGAACTTTTGGAAACTCAATTGCACCTCAAAGCAAGAAAAAAAAGTTTTAATAATAGTCATTTTGATAAAGTCAGTTGCAGCCATGTTTTGAGTTATGAGGTCACAATTGGGAGATATAAGTCCTGTTTGTCTCTGTAACCATTTACAAATTGGCAAGTGTATGATGCCTAGTGGTGTAAAATCTGCTTTAAAAAAAATGCCCAAGCAAATTAGAAATTTCAAAAACGATCATATTACAGGTTGATTTGAAAGCACGTGATGATGTCATGCAGTTGTGACACTAGAGTACACTAGAATGCCCACTATGTGGTGTGCAAGTCATCTTCTGTGTAGACTAATGCCTTGTCCAAATACCCACACTTGCGGTCTTTGCACTTGACCACTTGACTACTTGTATGACGTATTTCCTGTATTTGGCCCAAGTGTTCAAGTGAGCATGAAGACCACAAGTGTGTGTACAACTTTTCATTACCTGATGGGACACACTTATAGTGTTGTAAAAACGCGAAGTTTTGAATGTTGTGAATAAAATAGTTTATCCAAAAATAAAACGTCTTATTATCCCTTAACCTTTATTTTGTTTCTTATCCATATGACTTACAAAAAGAGATTTTAGGCAGAATGATGTGTCATTCAGCTACTTTCTCATATAGCTAATTAAATGGTGCATAAGAGTTTCTCTGCCATTTCATTTTGTGTGCCAAATATATTTATTTGTATAAATTAATTGTATAATTGTAATGACATAATATGACTTTCAAAAGCTGAAGTGATTACCTTAATTTATTTGTTAGAATATGTATAACTCAATATTTTAACTAATTGCAAAAGCTGAATAATCAATAAATGTCTACTGATTAATCAGCGAAATAATCTACGATTGGTCGATTAATCGTTCTAATATTCGTTAGATTAACCGATTATCAAAATAATCGTTTGTTGCAGCCCTAGTCTCGGCCCTCCGTGACGATTAAAAACAGCTAAAGCAAACGTGGCCTTTGGGCATCTTTTCAAAAGGACTCCGTCAACGAGTTCACCTTCAGCCAGAGTTGGTCTGCGGGGAGAGGCTGTGTTTAATACATTGACAGCAATAACAGAGATGATGTATGAGCATATAATAAAAAGCTAATTGGGAGCATCTGGGGCCAAAAGGAAGAATTCCTGAAGAGACCGTGAAGCAGCTGTTTAAGACAGAGTCATAATAGAGATAAATGGAGTTCTACTAGATAATTTACTCTCCTGTTGATGCTGGAGGTGACTGACGGCTGCTATTCACTCCCCGTCTTCCTCCCCGACCTCCATCTGCTCCAAGATTTCCTCTAACACCTCCGCCTTCCTCCGCTTCTTAGGAGCATCTGAGAGAGTTGATGAGAGGACAGATTTGTGCACAGATTTGTTTTAATTAAATTAAACAAGGGAAATGACTAGAATTGCAACCAGTGTTTGGGAAACTACTTCAAATTAGGAGTAGCTTGTGCTTTGGCAAGCTGCAGTTTCCAAGCAGTTAAGCAACAGTCAAACTACAATTTGGAAAAAGTATCGAAAAAGTTAGCTTAATTGTTGTTTTAAATTTTGTCAGACTATTTAAGGGGGGGATCTTTATATATAAAATGCTAAATAAATCAAAAAGTATTTATCTGGCACTAAAATTATGAATAGACTATAAATAAAATCAGGCATTGGTTTAATTGACAAATAATAAAATGAAAGGCTGTAACAAATGACTATGACAATTTAGTCAATTATTTATTTGATTATTCGTTTTAAAAAAACTCAAATTTCTGGAAGCGACAGGACTAAATTAAACAGTCACTAAATTATACAAAAAATTAAGTTAAAGAACAAAACCACATAATATTTGTTAATATTTACAGATAAGTATTTATATAAATATTATAAATATAACTACAGATAATAAGGGCTATATAGAACATTTACATATAGAACCATTTCAGCAATTTATAGTAATTTTCAGTAATATTTTTATTTTTATCAAATAAAACTAATTTATTAAGATGAGTTGAAAACAGGGATTAAACAGTAGAATTTGGGGAAAAAAGAAAGGCCCACATGGGAATTCTGTGAAAACTACTTCAAAAAATACTGTAGGATAACTATTGAAAAACAGTGAATAACTAGTAATTAGCTAATCTGTTTTATGAAGCAGCCAGTTCATTGAAATCACCCATCTAACAAACTGATTCATTAAAGTGCCAGAAAACTGTAACCGGTTTCATACCGCAATGCTACCAAAAATAGCTTGTTATTGAGAAAACTTGAGCACCAAATCAGCATATTAAAATTATTTCTGAAGGCTGGGGTAATGGCTGCTGAAAATTTTGCTTTGCACACCACATTACATTTTTTAATTTATTAACAGAGAAAAGGGTCATTTTAAGTTGCAATTTAATTTTTAAAAATTACCTTTTTCTGTATTTTTTTTTTTTTTTTTTTAAAAGATCTGAGAAATTGTCTGGCTACTCTACAGATAATAAGGGCTATATAGAACATTTACATATAGAACCATTTCAGCAATTTATAGTAATTTTCAGTAATATTTTTATTTTTATCAAATAAAACTAATTTATTAAGATGAGTTGAAAACAGGGATTAAACAGTAGAATTTGGGGAAAAAAGAAAGGCCCACATGGGAATTCTGTGAAAACTACTTCAAAAAATACTGTAGGTTAACTATTGAAAAACAGTGAATAACTAGTAATTAGCTAATCTGTTTTATGAAGCAGCCAGTTCATTGAAATCACCCATCTAACAAACTGATTCATTAAAGTGCCAGAAAACTGTAACCGGTTTCATACCGCAATGCTACCAAAAATAGCTTGTTATTGAGAAAACTTGAGCACCAAATCAGCATATTAAAATTATTTCTGAAGGCTGGGGTAATGACTGCTGAAAATTTTGCTTTGCACACCACATTACATTTTTTTATTTATTAACAGAGAAAAGGGTCATTTTAAGTTGCAATTTAATTTTAAAAAATTACCTTTTTCTGTATTTTTTTTTTTCTTTTTTAAAAGATCTGAGCAATTGTCTGGCTACTCTAAAAAATTTGCCACATTAACCTTATTTTAAGTAAAGTTCCTTATCAAAACTGCTTGCAACTGTCTGTCTACGCTAAATAACTGTGACATAAAGCAGAGATTTTACCATGAAAGGGTCATCCACAGTCTCCTCTGCATCCGCCCACTCCAACACCAGCCTCCTGCCGTAAAGATGAGTACTGTGACACAGTGCTGTGAACGCTTTCTGTAAGAAATAAGCACAAAATCAAAGCTTGTGTTAGATGTATGCACATATTGGACAGGATCAGTGTTGATTAGTTGTTTTACAAGAGACTACTTGACTGTGAAAAGAGACAGAAAGATACAGAGACAGATGCACCCACCTTGGCATCCTGTTTAGTGAGGAAGTCAATGAAGCCAAAACCACGGTGGGCTCCACCGATCCCTTTCTTTGGCAGGCGGACTGTCTTCAGTTCTCCAAACGTACTGAAAAAAAAAACATGAATCCAACATCACAGTGTACCTGCACTTCAAAACTCTCAAATCTCACATGACAGACTATTTTACAGTAATTACAAGGTACCGTGTCCAAAACCAAGATATTATCATAGTAATTTCTGTTAGTGAAAAATACACCAATGGCAAAATATTCTATGATATACACATGAAACACAATACAAAAATGGCCATTAAATGTGAAACAAGGCTCACCAGAAGAGTTCTCGCAGTTCTTTGACCGTGGCCTGGAAGGGGATGTTTCGCACCAGGATCTTCGAGGCCGTCTGTTTCCTGGCAGTTTGCTTTTTCCTTTTGGGCTGCGCCACACCTGACCTGCAAAAACAACAGGAGGAAAACAGCTGTCACTCGTGAGTGTGACTAGTGTCACTGTGCCTGTTACTCAAAGAGCACATAAAAAAAGCATTTAAAAGCAGTGACAAAATAATATTAAAAAAAAATAATAATAATTTAAACTGTACATAATCTTGTTTAGCATAACTACTCCAATTCAACATCAAATGGCACAATTTCAGAAAAAGCACACAGGAATAATTTTTTAAGTAAACCATTTATATAATATAAGAACAGGTGAATAGGGTATATGCAAATTATACGTATATATAATGATACTTATGCAAAGTTTCTCATCACTTTCATTACAATATCTTTTATATTAGAAGTTGCCCCCCAAAACACATTAATGTGCAAATCAGGCCCTAATTATGCATTGCTTTTGCATGCATCCTGAAAACAAATATATACATTTTCAGTCATGTTAAACCTATTCCATGAACTCTAGAAGGTTTTTACATAACAGACTGTTCATATAATCTTTCACAACCTTTTTAAAGCACTAATTTTGAAGAAAAGTATATAAACCGATCCCTTTATAAAATTATGTAACAGTGCAGAGTTTGGTTCATGTGTGTTAAGTGGAAGGAAGTTCAGATATCGGTCTCTTAATTATAATGCTAAAACAATCATTTATACATTAAAGGGTTATGCCGAGTTCACACTGCACGATCTTGGCCCGATTTTAACCTCGCCGACAAATGCCCGAAATCGGAGGCAAATCGGTGCTCGTTCACGCGAGTGACAATCACGCAGTGTGAATTATCAAAGACGCGATCTTAGGGAATCGCCGACACATCGCGATTTGGCATGCTACATATCTGGAGCTGTCGGCGATTCACAATCACGCTGTGTGCAATGATTTCTGACTGAAAACTACATCGGCGATGACCTACAGCCAATGAGAGACCAAAATACAGGGCAGCGGGAAGTTCGGGGAGGAGTTATAT